AAAAACATGAAAATTCTCAAAATCTGATAATCCAGTTCGATTCCTTGACCCCGAAAACCTTCGATCAAATTTTTAAAAAAATCGCTATTTTTCTTAAATACGCTACCCTGACTGAAAAAAATCAAGATTGCAGAATTTCAAAAATCTGATAACCCAGTTCGATTCCTTGACCCCGAAAACCTTCGATCAAACTTCTAAAAAAAAGTCGCTATTTTATCAAAATAATCTACCTTAGCTGAAACATTTTCGAAATTTTGATTTTGATTTATCTTAGCCAAGGTGGGATACTTTGATAACGTAGCGATTTTTTTAAAAGTTTGATCGAAGGTTTTCGGGGCCAAGGAGTCGAGCTGGATTACCAGATTTTAAAAATTTTCATGTTTTTCGGCAACGCAGACGGATGATTTTTTCAATCGACCTGCTATCAGCCCCAATACCAATACCGGGATCAATATCAATACCCCAGTACAGCCTTGGTATTGCGACACCCCTATCTAAATCCAATTCTAGAATTGGATTTGGATTTGACTGGAGTTGGATTCGGTGCACCCCTAGCCAGAATGCATCCCATAGAATGTATTACATTGACGACATACTAGAAAATAGTTGTTCAAACGAACCGAAGTTAATGATCTGATACAAAACTCAAAATACAATCAGTTGAAACAGCGTTGGAGCTTCTCACTATCCTTTTTTTTCCGTTAGGCCAGTTCACTTGTTACTTTATTTTCTATTATAAATACATGCTTAGATCTTACTGCACAATATCGAGAATAAACCTGTAGATGCAGAGCATTTAAATGTCGATTACTCTCAAAAGATCGTTTGATTTCTTGCTGTTGAAACATTCAATTTACTAAATTTCTAACAAGTTTTTCTAGATAGTTGGGAATCACTAAAGATCCTTTTCTGCTCTGATATAGTGAGATAATCTTGCTTTTTTTCAGATCTGGATTATTTTCAATTCAATATAATATAACAAAATTGCAGTAGATCTATTGATACACGAACTTTCTACGACAAAACTTGTTAAAACAATTTCTTATGAATAATTATTTAAAAATAGACATAGTACACGTATGCGATAATCATGACTTTTCTCTCCTATACACAATAGTCATTATCGAAAGATACTGAAGAAAAATTTGAAACAAAGTCCATGAGCAAAAGCAATTCAACAAAATTACTTTGATTTTAATGGTTCAAAACTTCTATACAAATACATCAATTTTTCACATGAGAATATACAAGGATAATAAGAAACAAAACTATTTCAAATCAAGAAAAACCGCAATAATTAGAATATCATATAGATTGTGGGTCATGATTTCTCTGAAGTAATTTGGATGGTTATTTCATGGCAAACCTTCATCGCCGACAAAACTAGGTCAGACACATCGCACTCAGACTCGTAGTCTAATGCGTTTGACAATTTGTGTTATCTTAATGCATCATTTTTTTGTCAAAACTGTCTGTGTCTGATAATAAAAAAAAAGAAAAAAACTGATAGTAATGGTAAATTAACGCCAACTATACGAGATGCAACTATAAACAGCGAATTGTACACTATGTACTTGGTCTTCATGGTTAATTTGTGAAACAGAAAAGTATTCAAGGCTAATGTCATCGGCATAAGGAAAATAGGGTCAAGTCTCTGCTAACATAGACAACCTAAACAAAGCATGCATCCGATATATTGTCAAATATTGAATTAAAACATAATAAGTGATACTTGAAGTGAAGCAAATGAAAAATAAACGTCACCATTGATGAAACTTGATTGATTCTTCCCAATGTCATACATTCGAATATCGCAATAAACGAAAAAAACCGTCATTATGCTTAGTTTTAATCGAATCATGCTTGTATTGCAAATTAATTATAGAATAACTGAAGTATTTGAACAATTAAGAGAAAATAACGTTTGAATTCAAGTTTCCTCCTTTCAGTTAGTTTTTTGATGGATTCTATTACTCATTATGATTTTTTTTCTCGGGTTTGATTTGATCGTCAACTCGTTCTATTGTTAGTTTAGCTTCTATTTAAGAGCCAATCAAGATAAATAACCGAGATAATTTGAAACTTAATCTTTGTTTCATTTCTACTCTATTGAAGCACATTGAATTTCGACAGTGCCATTCAATAGAAGTCTAGTCTACACACTAAATCATTGGACAAAAAATATCTTCATAGCTCAGTACTTTCGAATTTTATTGAGTAGCCTTAAAACGCAGCATGTAATGCCATGCAATTAACAACACGAACAACGAATATAGTGATTTGATCGATATTCGTATTTTAGAATAGTTTGTGACTTTGGCTTAAAGATAGCCATCATACGAAATATGAATATTGTATACCGTCGATTTTTAATTAGTTTTTTCATTGATCTCGATTGAACGATTAATCAAGGTTAACTACATAAATCTAACTGTAATCGATAAGAGTTCATTTTGGAAACAGTTAAACAAGACTATATGAATATCTTAATTATCAATCAAGGATCAGTTAGGCTTATGGCGAATGAACAGACTTATTCTGACGATCAATCAGTGATGGCATAATGTAAACATAGACTATACACAGTTCTCTATCAATAGGACTCATATTTCTTTGTTGACATTGGAGAATTGAAGATTGAATGTCATTTAAAAATATCAACTCATTATATATTAAGATTTTATTGCAAAATAAATTTTCTATTCAATAAATTCACAATTTAAAGCAATCATTTTTTTATCTATTTTTGATAAATACTGATGTATGCATTTTTATTACCAACATACCTATACATTCATGGATAGAGCAATTATGATAAGAAATATTTCGCGATAATATTTCTGATTCAATCGTTCATTGAACTATTATTTATTGGTCAAATTTCGAAGTGATTGATATCCCAATAACGACTAAAGAACAATTATTTGTCATTCGTTTAATAATTCTTTATGAAGAATTTTTCTTTTCAAACAATTTCTTTTTATTTTATAACACTCCTGTCTTTTATTCTGATATGTGCAGCATATACGATTCCAATGTTCGAAACCTAAATCAAAGATACAAGGCTATGTTCGTTATAGATACTATTATACACCTCTGCTCTATTCACCTTACTATGCTGTTCTCTCCAACACCTTTTTCTTCGTTTTCTTTTCTCCTGTTCTTTGATGTTCATTCAGTTGTACCATCCGCTCCTATTCGCATCAGTTGCATTCAACGGTATCTCCTTGTCTCCTTGTTCATATTGACACGTGCATATATAACGTATATACGGTACTTGATTTTGAACGAAGACTTACGTGCATACAAATTATTCTCCGACCATCATATGCTCATTATATCTCCTCTCGATTAGAACTCATTATAACAACTTTACTATATACCGACTAATCGTTACTGACAACCTGTCGAATTGCGAGATTTATTGGGTGAAGAAAGAAAAAAAGCGAAATGATGGCACACTCGATTGAACAACTCAATCATTAAAATTTTAACAGGTATATATATATATATGTACATATTGTTAAAGTTAAAAATTGATCTATAAAGAAATCGCCTAAAAAAGAATAGACATAATACTAGTGTTAGATGTTTTTCTCTGTTGCTTCGAACAATTTATTTGAATATTAAATTCAATAAAACTTAACACTTTCGTACGTCGTTTTTTTGTCTCACTTATTTCTATCATTAATATTTCAATTGCTGTCATCATTTTCTTTCGCTTTGATGTGCTCCTCCTTTTTCTCTCTTACCCATCTTTGTGCACAAACACAAGCCAATTCATAGATTTGCTTCACTTTAAAAAAAACGGAGAAGAAGAAGAAGGTCAAATGTATGTATGATATTATACAAGTATGCATACTCAAAGTCGAAACAGAAAAAACACATACTTCTATACAAAAAGCATTGATCTTATTAAAGTGATGGGACAGTATCGTCTGGCTTTCCTTTTCTCTTCTTTATCTCTTGCTTTTTTCTTTTTTTTGTCGCTTCATCGAAAGACTAAGTACTTTTAGATACGTAAATGTATAGCAAATTGAAATTGATCGATTATTAAAAGACAATGAGAGAGAGAGAGAGAGAGATAAATAACAAATTTTGTATTATTATTATTATTATTATTATTACATTTTGTGAACGATATAGCTTCAGGGTATAGTTTTGCGACATTGATGTCTATGATTGCAAAGGTAAATATGAGGGAAAAGAGTATCATCATTTAGCAAAAAATCACATTGAAAATCATTGAAAAAAATGACCCAAGGTCTTTGTTTCTATCTACCTTGACTATTACTGTATGCTTTCATACTTCTTATCATGTATTTTAGACTGACATCAGTCTTTTTCTTTTCATGAACTAATATCTTCTATGTACTATTTTGTTTATTGTTGAATAATAGTTTGTGAATAATAAGTCATAATAGTAGCAACCTTGTTAATATAACATTGAAGATGAAAATGAAGTTTTCTATGAAGAGATGAAGAGAATAGGCAGAAAAAATGATTACTCTCTCTCTCTCTCTCTCTTCCTTTCTTTCCCTCTTCAATTTATATTTCATTCACATGAGTATCAAATTTTCGATTGCATCATTTCTTTACGTTTGTATATTCGTATACATGAATTAGTGGTCAATTGTTTGGTTAGAACGACCGATGAGCTCCATATACTTTCTGTATATATATATATATATACATATATATTCTCACCTGAGGCTAATCTTATTCAAATAGCTCCTCTACCATCTTTTGTCTATGTATGTCATTTCTCTTATTCGCTTTCTTTCTCTTTCTTGATCATATATGCATATACATATGTGTATATATATATATATATATATGTACTGTATTCTCACTTACTTACCCGTTAGTGACATGTTGACATACGACTGTTAAACCGGGGCCAAACACTATCTTACACACATTTTTATCTCTATCATATATCACAATTAGATAGTAAATTGTATCGATATCTTAGACGAATTGTGAAAGTACAGACGAGAATGACGACTATTGTTACTACTTCAAATTCTGCAGCAACAACGCCAACAAGTTATGTTTCACGTTGGATTGCTCAAAGTCATAGTGCTTATCAAAATAAAACCAATGAATTTTATTCTCCATTATCATCTCTATCCTCGTCATCCTGTGACTTTCTAACACCAACAACATCAAATAGAACTCCACCAAATCTCATCTCGCCAAGAATACCAATAACAACATGGCAAGCACAAGCTAAATCACGTTTAGATGCTGCCGCTGTTTCTGCTTCTAAAACCAATGATTCTTCATTTATATTATCAATGAATATTAATAATAATGAACTACAAGACAAATTGCAGCGTGTGAGGTAAGAAAATTTTTTCAAGTCAATTGAGATGACATAATATTTCTTTTGCATTAAGCTCTATATACGTATAAATATACTCCTATTCAAACAATTTTACAATAGTACTATTGACTATTGATTGACTGATTTTATTCTACTAAGTCTGTCATAACAGTAAACTATAATGAATTGAAAGAAGAAAAAAAGATGAACAAAGAATCTTTGTGGGATTAATGAAGAATCCTCTACAATGCATATATTGCGTGACAGTTGATATGAATATGCATAAATTGAACATAAAACAACAAGTGATATGAAATATGAAAAAAGAAACGAAAAGAAGAACGTTGAGTAGTCCATATATTGAAATCGATTAAGTATATGATTTTGAGTATACACGTACAACATGACATATATGTATATATATATATATATAGAAAGACAGATTCATATCAGTTGGATGCACATTAAACAGTAATAAATGATCCATTACTTTTTTTTCTTAGAACTTTACTCGATGCTAAAAAACAACGACTATGTCGCTATTTCCCGTCGTCATCTTCAAATCTACCAGATCAAGTGCTTTCTTCAACAGTAGTAGGAGAACAATCCTCGCTTCCTCCTCCTCCTCCGCCTCCATCATCATCATCATCATCATATATTTTAGCACTTGAGGTAAACACTTGAAAAAAAGAAAGAAACTTGACCTTTCAAATTGATATATTCAATTTTAGAATGTGTATTCTTCACATGATGAATCTCGATTATCTACAAATTATCATTATCATAGTTCATCAATGTTACCATGTCTTATGGAAGAATCACCGAGTGATTCTGGTTGTAGTGATGGCGCTAAGACAGTCAATAACGATGATATTATCGATACCACAATAAAAAATCCAGCCCTTGTCGATTTAAGTAAACCATTAAGTAAAGAAGAGATGCTTGCTATTATACAAGTTCTACGAGAATTGTGGAGAAAGCAATTCGGTGGTGAATTACCAGACATACAAATAAAACCGACTGTATCAACATCGAATTCGCTTACTAATCGACCTATCGGAACAAGTGCAGGAATTTCATATTTATCAAATGATAAGAAAAATCAATATCGTTCAACACCGGTTTTAAATAAATTAAGTGCTGAACTAAGCGATATTAAAGATAAATTACAAAGATTTTCCAATAACCGTACAGCTGATGAACAACCAAAAGAAATTTCGTCGAAAAAGAAATTAAATGGTAAACTATTATGTTGTTAAAATATAGTCATTAAGTTTCATCAGTAAGAATGTTCAAGTATTTATAAATTTTGATTGATAGTTATGTCAATCGTTCATGACTCGTCATACATCGCCTTTGAACCGACATAGTTGAATGATTATGCTCTTGATTACGTATCGATTGTTCTAGAAATGACTTACTAGAAGAAAAAGGATAGGATATCTTGAGAATGTTTTAACTAAGTAAATAAAAATTTGCCTGTTAATTGTACAGGAGAGTTCTAAGTTTTTATTCATAAGTTAAATATTTAATTAGATTGCTTGAAGCTATTGCTTTTACTATACGGCAAGAAAGAGAAAAAAATTAAGACTTTGGAACAAAGATAGACGATAGGTATTTCATGTTTCCGAGATAGGTCTTTTGCATAGTCATGCTATTTTTGTTTTATTGTAAAATAACTTATTTTCAATCTTTAATTTGTGTCTTTATTGCTTTTGACTTTTTCAAGATTTCACAGGATCCTCTCTTGAGTACTCCTGTACATGTCGTATTTGAGAAACTCGTGTAATTATAGTTAAATGTTATGCAAATGTTTACATGAATATTTGATCAGCAAGACAGATTTCGAAATTTTTTTCATTGACGTGAGTCTATCTCCTACTAATCATTTAAATAGAAAACAATTTTTGATTGTTACCTACAAATGATAGCGTTACATTCGAGATACTCAAAAATTCTGAGATAATTTATTTTTGTTTAGGCAAATTTACTTGCTGATGAAAATAGAAAAATGTTTTCAATGTAACGATGAGTAGAAACAGCTCTACAAAATTAGATAATGTCAAATCGAACGATTATTATATTTCTACTTCTGTTGTAAATAAAATTGCAAATTCTAGAGATCATTACGAGACAAGAAATCTAGCTCCATGTATCGAAACACATCGGATACTTTTATCATTCGTTTTCTCAGATGATTATGTCGACATCTAGTATTTTAATAGTAGTCTATTGAAAGAAAAAAGCGATACAGTTTTAATTCAATCTTGGACAAATCTCTTTAGTCGCCCATAGAATAGATAACTGTTATATATATACATGAAATCGATCATATCATCTGCAAATAATCTACATGCAAATAGGTTATATAAAATTTAATAATAAACTAATAGTGTAAAATATTCACTCAAAATTAGATGATTAATCGTTAGCATGAAACGCAAATATCTTCATAACTTTTTTCGAATTTGTTAAGTTTTGAAATCTATACATAAAGTGAACCCGATCATATTTCATAATGAGCCTGAAGAAATAATAATATTAGAAGATCCAAAACAAAGTTCGAGTTTTTCTTATAAATCTTCTTATTCAAGCTATAGATAATAATATAGACGAACCAGAAAATATTCGAATCAATCAAGAAACTATGGTATTTATTCCGATCGGCGCTCCACTAACTGTAAGCAAACTAATTTTATTCTTTCTATTTATTTATTCAAACTTTCACTTATCTAATATCTCAGGCTCAAGATCTCGAGCGAATGCAAACTAAAAAAGATGCATTAATTCGTCGACAAATTCAACGTCGTGAAGAACAATTAATAAAGAAAAATGAAAGATTAGTAACAGCTATTGACAACCAAAACGAATGTCGTCTGTATGAAGAATATACAGCACAGCGACGACAAGAAACTGACTTTCGTCGTAAAACAATTTTACAAGCTCATATCGAACAAAAACGTTTAGAAGCTGATCCACCATCATCAAACGATTATTATTTTGCAGCGGCACGAAATCGAAATCGTTTAAAGCGCAAAGCATCAATGACATCATTTGTTTCATTTGACGATGATGTTAGTTGCGGTGGTTCAACTTTTGATTTATTCAGTACAGCCAGTGGGAAAAAAACAAGTAAACATCCTATAATCATTGATTCTTTCGACACTTGTAAATATAATTACTTTTAGCACAAACACCAAAACGTAATACAAATCGATATGATTTTGTATCTCCAAGTTTAATAGCGTCAACAACTGCATCTCGATCAAAAATGAATCGAGCTGCAAGTACATGCAATATTAATGAACATTATGATTCATTCACATCGTTAAATTCAAAAGCAACAATACCAATAATGCGAACATCAAGACCATCGAGCTTCTTTGGCGGTAGTCTAATGAATATTTCGATGCTCAATAAGAACAAACAATCACAACAAAAATCATTCAATTTGCTTGATGAACCATTTGATTTAACTATTGAATCTCCATTAAGTGGTTCACTTTCTTCGATTGCTTTATCAACGCCAGGAGGTAAGGATTAATTAATCGTGTATTCGGTTTTTTATGTCAACAAACGATTGTTTACTTTCAAAGGCTCACGCCTTGGTAGAAGTCAAACACATTTATCAACGAAATCAAATAAAAAAACCATAATTAACTCATTGAAACAAAGCGTTCTTGCTGGTCCAGCCAATGAACGACAACGTGATGTTATTATTCAAGTAAGATATATCATGCTCTTTTCTTTTTGATAATTTTTTACATCAAGATTAAATTTCAATAGGAAATTGAGTCATGCGAGGCTCGACATTTTATCATTCTCTTTCGGGATCATCGTCTTCAATTTCGTGCTGTCTATATGTACATACCTGAAACAGATATTATCGAAAAAGTACATGGCGTTGGACCAAATATTATTACTGAAGTTATGGTTGAAAAATGGTTCAAGTAGGAATTGTTTTTTCTTTTCTTTTTTATCAATACTCCAATGAAATGCATTGATTTGTTTACATTTTTAGGTATAATTCGGGTAGTAAACGTTTTACTAATATGCCCGTTCGACATTTTTCAATTCAATGTGATGCTGTTGTTATTCATAATGACTTCTGGCAGAAGAAACTATTTATGCATATGAATAAATTACATTAATTTAAACAAAATATTCTTTTTTTCTGTTTAAATTTGATTGTTAATTGTACATGAATATGAATTTTCTTTTTTTTTTTATCAGTAAAAATATTTGAACCAGATTAAGCAAATAATTTGTGAATGAAGCTGATAGAATTACTACGAAGTCAATACGATGCTTGACATATTAAACAACACTTTCAGCTTATGTTTAATTTCAAAGTTTGATAAGTACTTATATGAAATTTAACAGCTTGATCATAAATGTAACAAGATTGTATTTTCTTCTAAGCTAGTTTAAATGCAATAACTAGACAAAAACTTCACATATATCGTATTCTAATAGTCTGTAAGATCAAATTTCTGATCAGTCTACTATATTCGAAAACACTCAAAAAAAGTTTGTCAACTATGAAAAGCAGTCTAGAATCAAATAATTAGATACTTGAATTTATTTGTTCAACATTCAAATTTCACCTTGAATTATATGGATTAGAAGATCTTAGATCGGAAGAATATATCATCATCGTAATGGAACGCTAATTTCATGCATTTTTTCTTTGAATGCTTTGCGAAAACAATGACCTATAAAATTCTGTAGTATTAGAGAAACAAGTATCTGGAGTTTTTCTTCTCGAATTATTGAAAATTGCTTATCTGATCAGTTGTGTAAAAAAGCGCATAAGTATAATAAGTAAGAGATTATTACATGAAGATAACAATAAGATGTGATTGAACTTTAGAAATTAGGGTTATACTTGTTGTAATGTTAGTTTGAGATTACGATGCAAATTTAAGACGAGCAGATATATTGCCTGAACATAACTACATAACTTGGTTCGCTATTAAGATAACTCAATAGGATTAATTGTTGCAATCAAAATAAACAGGAAACGAACATTAGTATTTCGTTCTATCAAATATTTTGGAAACTAGAAAAACAATTAAAAATATCGGGCCAACGAAAACAGCTGAAATGCGAAGTGGTATTAAACGATGATCATTTGATATTGTCGATCCTCTACTCTTTATTTATCTACTACAAATACATAAGAGAGTAGTATGATTGCATCATTTAATAACATGATCATCACTACTCGACGAGATATCAATCATGGCAACTGTTTAAAAGAACTACAATTTTGAAATTCATAGACATGCTAGTAATTAAATCAACCTTTTCGATTCAATCATAACCTTCAACATGAATTACAATTCGCAGATAAATTGGTTTCCTTGTCGATAACATGAACAGCCCGTGCATACAACAAGCATTTTCTATATTACATTCCTTAGTTTAGTTGTAATGAATAGAACTTATCTACAAGCGCTATCGAACTACCATATTTGAAATTGCTCTAAAACTATTTGTTATAATGTCATAAAGTTCAAAATCTATCTTATGCGTACTCTATCGTGAATTTTCTATAATCTTCTGACTTGTTTTTACTCAACATGAGAATTCGTTCAATCCGATAGAAAGTATCGTGATTGTCTTGATTGAAAAAGAATCGTTTCATCAAGTAAATTACAAAATAGATAGGGTGCAAAAAAAAAATATCACAATGTATCAACATAACTGTAAACGAATATATTAAGTTACAATGGTTTAATCGAAGATCTTTACATAAGATTACATTTCATAATTAGCAATCGTATACATTTCATTTCGAATCAGTCAGTAAGAAGGATTGTAGTTTCACACTTCATGAAAATTTGACATTCTATTAGCTCACCTTTCGTCTCAAATTCAATGATTTCATTCATGACCTTAGAAAGTACTATGCAATATTAGCACCTAAGAAAATAAATTAATTTTATCATTTGTTCGTGTCTAGATATATTTACAAAAAGAAGCTATCGGTTCAAATGTTAAATTAGCCCGAATGAATATTTATTCATTACTGTAAACGCTTACTAAAGGTCACTTAACTAACACTTCGTATCTGTTTCTTTTCTAGGTCGCAGTGTTACATACATGATAATATCATTTGATTATGTAGCTAGTCGATTGGGAATACATATTATCTTGTCAAAATAGAATTATTAGTTTTTATTGGTTAAGATATTTTTTTGCATTATCTTTAGATTATATTCTATAATATCAATGTAAACAAAGAACGAGTATTAACACAAACATTCGCTGATTGAACAGAACGTTCTTTCTGTCCCGTTCATTTTCTCTAGAGCATTTTGTTTTCTCTCCAAACAGCTACGAGCTTCACACAATAAGTTAAGCATTAAAATATTTAATTGCAAAGACTTGTATATCTTTTTATTAAAAAACTCCATTCTCCAATAATTTGGCTATGGAAGAGGGGAGACATCTCCTAGCCCCTGGCTTCACCACTACGTGTTTACTCTCGCGTTTCGCACGGGTAACAATCATTATTTCAATAAAACATGATATATTCTATCATAACTCCTTGTTACTTCTATACAAAATCATGCATAGAACGTACCAAGTTATAATCAAAAGCAATGCTCGATCCTAATAGCAGTTCACAATGAAGAGTTTAATCTATATGAGATGATAATCTTAACAAGACTACCGTATCGAATCCTAAATGAATGCGCGTGGAGAACTGTCAATTAGAATCCTGGTCGAATTTTTTTCTGCAGAATAATTTCATCCTTCTGCTCTTCTAGAACTAAGATAGTAAATTGATCCTTCCATCAAGTGATAGTCGTCCATAGTGATCTAAAATGATTGAAGCAATAAGTTCAAACGAAACAAAAGACAAAGAATTAAATATTTCAACCTTTCATACAAGCATTTCAATAATTATTTCAATTAATATTAATTCACTTCATCAGTTGTGTACCAAATGGTAGTTTTTGTACATGCAGTTTGTGTATTGGTCTAGAATATACTTTGATAAAATTCTCAAGTCGATTGGCTGAATTGAAAATTGTAATCTTATTACTATTTAAAAGAGAAAAAATCTTATATGGTTTCATTTTCATCATACGTGTGCCACTGTCAATATTGTAATAGCAAGATTATTAACACTTGAAGAGTATATATTCAAAATATCAGTTCACGAATTGAAAATTTAGCATTCATTTCAAATAAAATAAAAAAAAAGGTTAATCATTCGCTCTTCATAATCCGTTTTAAGTTGTTCTATAGAACTTGTTTGTAGGGGTGGGCCATTTAATTTAATGCGAGTTAATTAACGGTGTTAATTAGCTAAAAGCGTTAATTCGTTAATATTAACAGTTAACGCGTTTAGCTAACGTTACTTTTAAATTAACGTAAACGTACCACTCCTACTTGTTTAACAATGTTTCCCGTATGAACGCACCAATTCCAATTCCAATTCTTGACTTAGAATTGGTCTGAAATCGGTATAGAATTGACTCTAAATGAGTGTAGAATTAGCTGAAATTGATGGTACAATTGATTATTGTTGACTAGCAAGTGCTTGAATTTTCCAAAGATAAAATAAAGAAAATGGGACGCGTAAGGGCTTAAATCTGAAACTCGATATTTTTTATCATAAAAGCTACAACTCGGGCCACAATTAATAACATATTTGGAATCAACGCAAAAAAAACTGGCTTGAAC